GGCCAGAGAACAGAAAAAAAAAAAAAAAAAAAAAAAAAAAAAAAAAAAACTAACAGTAGAACTACCATACAACCCAGCAATCCCACTACTGGGCATATACCCTGAGAAAACCATCATTCAATAGATGCAGCTCTATTTACAATAGCCAGGACATGGAAACATTCTAAGTGTCCATCAACAGATGAATGGATAAAGGAGATGTGGCACATATATAAATGGAATATTAGCCATAAAAAGAAACAAAATTGAGCTTTTTGTAGTAAGGTGGATGGACCTAGAGTCTGTCATACAGAGTGGAGTAAATCAGAAGAGAAAAACAAATACCAAACAAATACCATATGCTAACACATGTATATGGAATCTAAGAAAAAAAAAAATGGTCATGAAGAACCTACGGGCAAGACGGGGATAAAGATGCAGACCTACTAGAGAACGGACTTGAGGATATGGGGAGGGGAAAGGGTAAGCTGGGACAAAGTGAGAGAGTGGCATGGATATATATACTCTACCAAACATAAAATAGATAGCTAGTGGGAAGCAGCCGCATAGCACAGGGAGATCAGCTAGGTGCTTTGTGATCACCTAGAGGGGTGGTTTAGGGAGGGTGGGAGGGAGATGCAAGAGGGAAGAGATACGGGAACATATGTATATGTATAACTGATTCAGTTTGTTATAAAGCAGAAACTAACACACCATTGTAAAGCAATTATACTCCAATAAAGATGTTAAAGAACAAATCCAAAACAAAAGAAGCCGCTCCTGCGGTTTGTCTCTAATGAATTCACCCACAATGAGGCTGGGGGGGAGGGGAAGCAGGAATTGCTGATGTCTATGGTAACCCTTTTACAATTCCTTCTCCTGAATCAAAACCCCAGATCCCTACTCAGGGGCTGTGAGTTGCCAAATCCCTCCATAGGCAATGTGCAAACTAGTCTAGAGCTCTCCAGGGTTTTCTTTTACTCATAGAGGAAAAAGCAGGGGAACAATCAAACGATGAAGACTTACACTGTCCCTTCAGTGCTAACTGCCTCACTCACCCCCATCTTGGTTTGAATCAGGCAAAAAAAAATCATAGACAGAGAAATTTTCTCCAGCTACATGAATGCAAAGAAATATTTTGGGTAGGCAACTCCCATCAGCACAGAGGGATAAACAGGATGCTTATGGAATGAAGGAACTTTAGGTGATAGTCAATGAATTTGTGAGTTGAAACACATTCACCAAAGAAGCACAGTATGTTGTATTAAATTATTTTATTGGATGTAGTGTTGGCGGGGGTAGTTTTGTTTATTAGAGACCCCTCTGTTCACATATCTAATCTGCTACTCAAAATGGAAGACTTCCTGTAAATTAACCAGCGGACGCTCCCTACTGCCACTCATGTTATTATTAGTAGTAATAATAGTAATATATCATTACTATTATTATTAGAATTCATGGAAAATTCATGAGGGAGACAGAATGGAGACTGAGGAACGCTGATCTGTTCGTTTCTACTTTCAGAAAAGCCTGAAGGTGAAACTCTGGATTTTCACTCTCCTCAACTTCCTGTGACCTGTGGTGAGGCGAAGGGGATTTTATATAAGGAGAAAATGAAACAAGGTGAGTTCCTCGATCTTCTGCTCTTTGGAAACCCTAGATGAAGGAATCACTAGAAGGGAAGAGAATATCCACGTGTGTCATTGTTCAGGACATGGATCCTGCGGGCTAGGCTGCAGAAAAAAAGCAATGCTTTTTTTTTTTTTTTTTTTTTTTTTTGCCAGAGATTTCTGTGCGTTAATTTTTTTTTTTTTTCCTTGCGGTATGCGGGCCTCTCACTGTTGTGGCCTCTCCCATTTGCGGAGCACAGGCTCCGGACGCGCAGGCCCGGCGGCCACGGCTCACGGGCCCAGCCGCTCCGCGGCATGCGGGATCCTCCCGGACCGGGGCACGAACCCGCGTCCCCTGCATCGGCAGGCGGACCCTCAAGCACTGCGCCACCAGGGAAGCCCAGCAATGCTTTTTAAGAAGGAATTTTCAACCTTTTCAATGTCATGGTACATCTGATGACCAGGCCACTCCCCTCCCACATGGAAGTCATCCATGGACCCTGTGACACATGTCCTTGCCACATAAAAGGCAAATTCTGTCCCAATCCTTCACCAGTAGGGCAGGTTTTAGGGCTTCCGTCAATCTGAGAGAGGAGGAATCAGACTCCCCTGCTACTGCTTCCACCTCACAGGGAGTCTCTGGACCCAGAAAGGTAGAGCATCACAAGTAGGGGGTGGGAGGTTTAGGGCGAATTCACAGAGGATGGAAGTGGATCCAGGAATGGGCTGTCTTTACCTTACAGGCTCCTCAGAGAAGTGTATTCAGAACAAGAAGGGACTTTGGTTCACACCGAGAGAATTTGAAATTGAAGGAAAACGGAAACAATCAAAGAACTGGAAGCGGAGTGTGCTTTGCAGAGGAAAGACCCTAGAACAGCTGCTGGAGGTATTGTAATAACAAGGGACACATAGGTGATGGGTTTAATTCCTTGAAGGATGAGTGGAATTTCAGGGACAGAAGGGTGAAGAAATGCCCATTAGGCTTCCACAGCGTGATTGAGAAAAAGCTAAACGATCATAGAAAAACATTGTGGGTGAGAAATTTAGGAACATAGATTGGTGCTAATGGTGGGGAACTTTAAGTACAAGGAGGGATTCAAGAAGCTTAGCTGGAGGGGGTGGGCTGGAAGGAAACTAGATGAAGACAGAGACACCTGTCTTGTTTCGTTAGGAAGTGGAAACTTGGATATTTACCAGAGAACCTCCAGAACAACCCCATTCATTGACCCACCCTCTCTTTCAGAAAGGACTTTTGCTCTGTCCTCCAAGAAAAAGTCTCAAGAGAGAGGTAAATAGCAGGTGAATTTCTACCACATTCTCAATCGTCATGTTGCCGACTTTCTGTGTCCCAAGGCTTGCCTGGGCGTTCTCGACTTTCCCAGCCTCAAGTCACCTTCCCGTTTCAGCACTGCATCTTCCTGACAACTGCTTTAGCACACTGGTACATGTACATGCCACCATTATTTTCAAAGTTAATTTTAAGAAGGGGAAGCAAATAACTCTTTAAAGTAAAGATTAGGACAAAAGCGTGTGTTTTAGGAAAAGATCTGTATATTTGGATGATTACTAACAAAAGACGTCAGAAATAGAGTGCCCTAGTTTGCAAAGTAGGTACGGTATTGAAATAGACAAGAACAGAATAAGAAAGAATAAGAAGATCATCGCTGATTGAACTCCAAGTATTCCTCAAGTCAACATGCTCGTTAACTGGTAGCACCAGAATGGAATAATGTGTTTGAACTGAGCTTTGTCTCTGCACAGCTTCCCTCCAGGTGAAAATGGCAGTCATCCATTGGCTGTACACGCTGCCCCTCCCCAGCTGTCTTTACTTCCGTAAATACAACTTCCAGTCCCGAGTCCCATTCATGAGCTTCCCGTTAGATACGAACCTCCAGCAGAGGCAGTGGTGCCTCTCCCATCTTGCCCTGGAGGTTAGCCTGAAACTTGGCTGGATTCACTCAAAGTTTATAAGGCAATGATCCCCCAAAGCTGTTTATTGTATAAACCATCTTTTCCATGCTGATTTGAAATATCTTGGTATGTTTAGGGAGGCTCCTTGTAATGGCAAAAAATAGGGAAGAATACGGATGTCCATCAGTATTGTAAAATAAACTGATACATCAACAGAATAATACTTTTAAAAAATGGATGGTTTGCAGTTATAGACCCATCCTTCAGTCAGTGGAAAACCACCCAAGGGTTTTAAGGTCAAGAAAGCTTCAGGAAGCTTAAACTGGAAAGAACATGTATGGAAGGACATTGCTTACGTGAATATGTAAGGCTATGACTAAAAAAATATCTGAAAGCATCAGTTATTCTGGGATCGGATTACAGGGTACATTTGACTTCCATATTATATATTTATGTACAGGTGGAATTTTTATAATGATCATTAATTACTTTTGTAACCAGAAACAAAATAAAGATATTTAAAATCCAGATCATTAATGGCCCAATATTATAGTTCCTTCTTACTCATAATGCTACAAGTCAGCAAATGATAGCCAGGGGCACACTTGACCTGACCATTCAGTCCCTCCATCAGGAGCCACGTTGAGATAAAGAAAACAAAGTTTAGTTCTGATTGTGAATGGACCAGTGCAGGCCTTTCCCCCAGCAACGTTTTCCAACATGTCATTGTCACTCTGCAGTATACCCAGTCTCCACTGGTGTCTAGCTCTGTGTATGTGTACCAGCAAGAGATCTGATGCTACTACTATAAGCATGTGTTTTGTGGCTGCCCTGCAGGGTGTTGCTCCCTTGACCCAAGGCAAAATGGGCAGCTCAGGGCCTGTGAGAGCCTCTACTTCCAGAAGGGCCCAGTATGCAGCCAAAAGTTGCTACCCTAATGGCATGTAGTGTGGGACTGATAGTTTTTGCTTTTGTTTTTGGGGGACAAATTCTAGAGCCTTTTGTTGAGGAGTCCCCATTCAAAGTGGGCTGATTTGCAAATAACAGCTTAAATGGGTACAAGTAACATCTGTGAATGAGGACTATGTTACCTTCAGAGCTCAAAAGGGGTAAAAATGTTGGGCAGTTGTTGTGGGATCGAGTATTCAGAGGGTCGGTTATCGTTTCTTGACAGTGTCAGGAATAGAGCAGCCCTCAACTGACCAAACAAAGCCCAGAGATTTGCTGAGCTGGTAGGGCCTTGTACTGCGTGTGGGGTGATGACCCTTCCCTTTCCCTGAGTTCCTCTGAGGAGTTGTATATTCTGAATGAGTATGTCACAGGAGAATGATGTCATCAGTGTGGTGTCATACCTGTGCTCCCGGGGGAAGTTGGATGCAGTCACAGTTTTGCCTGCAGAGACTGCGTGTGATGGCAAAGCCGTAGAGGTACCCCATGGTAACCAGGTAAAGATGTGTTGTATCCCTGCAAAGGTGGAGGCCAGCTGCAGCTGAGATGCTATTGAAATAAGCACTGAACAGAACATATTAGCCAAATCTGTGACAGTAAAGCATTTACCACTCGCTAAGTGGATGGTATCAGTAATTGCAATAATATTGGGTATAGGGACCTTAATGGGTGGGGCTCCTTTGTGAGTAACGGTATGCCACTAAATTTAAGCAAAGTACCCGCTATCCTCTTAGGGTATTTACCAAACATATAACAGAGGACAAACTGGTATACCTTACCTTAACCATCAAAACTGTTGCCTTACCTAAATGCCCCAAGGTCATAACACTCATTGCCCTAAAATATCCTGTAGTGGGCACTGATGCTCTGATCCAACAAATAATAAAGTAAAATAAAATTAAATCTTTGACACAATCAGCTTTATAAAATGGACCTTCCTCTCTGTTAAAATAGTTAATAGAACTCAGTATAAATTAAAACAAGGCCTTCGAGGTTAGAAACTTATAATACAAGATCTATATATTTAGAGCAAGAGTGATGATCTCTACTTTTTCTCCATTTAACGGCCCAATTTGGCCTGTTCTTAAACTTGGAAAGAGT